GGAACTGGATGATCTTTAAGGTCCCTTCCAACCCAAACCATTCTGTGATTAAAGTTACCTGTATTAGATTTTTTTTTTTTTTTTTAAATCCAGATAATCAAGTGTCTTTCTATTTTTCCCTATCAGCTATTTTTAAAACAAGGGATCCTGGCAGATGGCCAAGTTTGTCTTGTCTTTTCATGTATGAAAAAGAAAAGAAGGCAGAACCGCCTAAAATTCACCAGGCCCCTTTTTCCTTAGCTAAGTAGACTCCTCATTGTTCCCTGAACGCCACCTACACCAGGTGAAGTTGGTCACCGGTTATGCAAAAAATGTCACGAACATCTATCATTTCAGCCAGGCGCCTTTTACTTGCCAGACAGGGCATTTGACGAAACAATTCACTGCACTGTAATCAGTACAAGTCAGACCACCTCATCTTTATTTCTAAGCTGTTTCTATGGCTTGGGTATATGCTGCCCCAAAAACTGAGTTTCCTGGATTTCAGACTTCATGTGCAAGTGACAATTGTACTAACAACTTCTCCCTTCCCAAGTTACTTGTACAAAAATAACAACCTTAGACTGGCATCTGTCTGAATACACTTTAAAAATGTTAATTATTTGACATTAAGAGAATATACTTAGTTTATTTATGCATGCTTGCCAGAGCTGTTTTTAGTTGGCACGTGTTTCTTCTGCTTACGTGGCTCTTTCACACAGCAACAGAAGGGAGACAGATTAGAAACGGGATGGTAAAACTGTAAGAACTGACAGAGGGAAATCCTGGAATAAACTGACAGGTGCCTGAATACAGCTTGCTATCACGCCGATAGCATCCTTTAGACTTCACTTTACACTAAGAGAATAACAACTGACTGAACACAAATTACCCTTTGGGAGGGGTGAACTTTACAGCCCCTCCACGTGAAGACTAAAGCAGATTCTGCACTTCTCCAGGTAGTCTCAGCTCAGGCTCGCCTCAGCAGCTTCACCTCCTGCAGGCCACAGACCTGCAGCCTCGCCCTGTGTAACTCCTCAGCCCACGTTTGCTCCTTCAAGTCAATCCTCCCGTTGCCACATTTCAGTCCTTGCTTTAACAGCACCGTTTACCAAGCCGATGCCAACCACAGAGCAAACTCAAATACTGCGGCAGCAGTGAGAACACCCAACGAGAGCCTGGCTCCAGCTATGGGAGGAGGATGGTGAGCACTGGGACAAGGTGGCAACGGACTATGTTAAAGGAAGGGACAAACACCGTGAGGCTTTGGCTCCCACCATGGAGATACTGCCCTTGCTGCAGAGCAACAACAGCACCTGGGTCTCCTTCAAGGCCCTTCTGCAGCAGGAGGCTGGCACCATATGGAAGTTTCTCTTCCCGACAGCTCTGCAGCAGGAAAATGCCAGGAACAACGTGCACTAGGGCCAGATCAGCCATTGCAATTGCACGCTGTGGTTACGCAGAGCGCAGCCTAGCCCTGATATTGGACCTGTCCCAGAGGGTCGACCTGCTGCAGAGCGCCACGCGGGCAGCGCCACGATTTCCCACCGTCAGCACAGGCGGAGGACAGGGAATACCCAGGACGCTCCAGCCGTACTTCCAGGCGGCAGATGCGACA